ACTTTTCTGTTGCCTCAGGGTAAAGGCCTGTAAAGTTTCTACTGGCAGCAAGGCTGACCATTGCTTAAACTTGACTATGTGAAGCAGCTTGGTGCCTGGCCCACACCTCAGCCTGAGAGCCATCACAAATTAGACCCCAGTGCATCACCTCAGCAGCCTCTCCTCAGACACTTGTCCACAGAGCATTCCCAGCCCACACAGACGGCGCTCTGCTGCTGCCTCTGAGCTTTGTAAATCTAGCTGTACTTCTTCAAGGCCCACTATCGGTTTCCCTGTCTGATCTGGAGGAATGATTGAATTTAGGTTGCTCTCCTCCCAGAAGATATAAGATACTTAGAGGCAAGTCTTTCTCAGCATTGTCTATTGAGGCTGTTCTACTCTAAAATGCCTAAACATCCCTTGGGGCAAAGAAAGAGGGAGGATGCCTATAGCCTGACAGTCCGAACAACATCTACGAAACCCAAATATTCATTATTTCACACAGTTTTCTCTGTATCATTCAGACCATTCCTACACGGTAGCCATTCAGCAAATATTTGATGAAACCACTAATAACAGTGCAAGAGCTTCCAAAGACACCTTTTGCACCATGAAGGCAACACAGAAAGAAAAGCAGCAGCACTAAGATATACTCTACATGATAAAAACAAGGCTATCCTATCAGCACATTACTGGACCAGCCACCCTATCCAAAGGTAGTGATACCCCAGAGCTGTGTTGCAGCTGGGGGAAGGTGGATGTAAAAGATCTGGAATATACCCCTATAAGAAAGGGATGAAATTCACAACAACAGCAACAGGTCGCATGGTGCCTTCTACAGCTATGGAGTGAGTCTTAACTTACTGTTCATATAAACACAGGGTTATTTCTGTGATCGCCAAAATCAACAGTGAGTTTCTTTCTTTGCAAAGATCTGTGTTGTCTTATGCTTAGAGTCAGTGCTTGAGCAAATGTAGCTATTGACCACTAAGGGCAGTTAGCAAGAGCACCTCATTTTAACTACTTTATTTAGAGGAGGCTTAGCCTGATGGGTTTGCTGATTTCCAGAGGAATCTTTAAGTATTTGAACCAGACCCCTACTGCTGCTTATAACAAACAGCAGAAAGGCTATAAATGTTTTATTCCCACTGGAAGGTGGGAAATATTTGGAGAAAGTCTCCAGCTTTGGCAGTATCCCTGCACCTTTATGACACAAGTCCACATTATCAGGGCCACTTCCATTAGGTTCTTTTTAGCCATCTGGAAGACAACACTGCAAGGGGCAGCCTTTCACCGCACCTGAGCTGTGCTGCATGTAACCAGGCTGAGACCTCCCTTCCAGACTGAGTCATTTGCATTTATGCTCCAAAGGCCCCTTTACCAAATCTTTAGACAGATAACCAAGGCAAGACTGAGACATCTATAGTTAAGATTTTTAGAGTGCTCTTTTAAAAGAAAATGTAGTTCTAGCTCTATTAAAATTTAAACTCCACATGCCAGAGTCAACCAGGTGGTTTGTGACATGCAAATGCTTACTTGCCAATTGCTTTCCCTTTTCTCATGCTCATTAATCACATTTAGATGTTTCTATAATAGAAAGCTGATACACAGAAAGCAAGGAGCAGGATTCACAGAAGTCCCCAGCCCTCTTTCCTATGGGAAAGGGATAAAATAAACATCTAGTATTTATACTATTTGTGTTTTTTTTTTTTTTAACCAGTGAAAATTTAAGATGAAAATCCTGGCACCTCCCATGAATCTCAGTAGTCTAAACTAGGAGAACAGCTTAATATAAGAGTTTTTTGGTACTTATTAGAACCCCTAGGGCCCTTACCGGGTAGATTCTGGCCAAGATATGCAGTCTAAGGAGGTCTTCCGGCTTTGCTGTGATTAAGATACTATCTAAGTAAATAAATATTCTTACCACCATGGGCCTTAAGGGATGAATAGCTGGTCTTATATCCATAGCAAAGGCTCTTGGGACTGTGCACTGGCCAAACACCATTACTACTGACAGATCCAGCATCAGCAGTCAGTAAGTGTCCTTTCCAGGACAGCCTGAAGGGTGTCCTGGAGTTTGAATGAAAATTCTGAGGAAGTAGTTGTTTATATTTCCCATATTTTTTTAAAAATAAAAAAGTTTTGAACTGTAAATGAAAATAGATAGTAACTCCTCTAGGAACCACACGTGGACAACCTCTGGAAAGCTTCTCTAGTGGGCATATCCCTTCTAGTTTGACATGTCTGACCTTTGGTATGGTCAGTTAATTTGTTCATCTTAATAGCTGACTGGCATACAAGGTAGGTACACTAGGTAGAAATAAACACATCAAATTTTAGCCCCCTTAATTTTAGCAGACAGATTTAATAAATGCACATAACTAATGGGTATATAATGACTTCCCTAAACTCCTACTTGTAGATCACGCATTCTATTTCCCAGTGTATTTTTTCCCCATGAAAAATTAAATTGGAAAGTCAACCAGAGAGAAATCATACTGGGGACATTTTCAATCCATTCATTTACATTTTCACTCTTTCCAGAATGTGGATAGTGTGTTTTTATGGCATGTTTGGTTGCTATTCAAAACATCTTTTTTTTTTATTGAATAGCAAAATTATTAGATGAGTAGAATCCTGTATGCATAATAAGAGCACAATTTAAAGCTGTCCCTAGGCTAATTTATGAAGCACTAAATCAATCGGAAAAGTTTTCTCTTTTTCTTAAAGAGACACAAGGTTGCTTTTTTCAGCTGTTTTTGTCTGTTTTCATGGTCTGCACACTGATCATAGTCTGCTACAGATAACATACGGAAAAAGAAATATCTGAGGGATGAACGTAATGATACTCTCTGTCAGAGAGTTACTCTCTGTCAGTTTGTTACACTTCTCTTTATAAATTAATTCCCTGTAACTAGTGCACAAGTCATTACTGAATATGGTTCACAGGCACTAACCAACATGTAGGAGAACATAATTAATGCATAGTAGTTTTGTAAATACATGTTTGTGATTGCCCTAAGTCAAAGCTTGTAAGTCAATCTAGTGAAATGTTATGTGAAATACCTCTTTCACCTCCTACCATGCATGTATAAGCACAATAAATTTCAAATGAAATGCTGGAATATGTGCATACCAGGCTGGGCATTGTTGCTTCTTAATGCCAGTATGTGAAAACAATAATAATACTTAATGCGTGTACACAAATCTCAAAGCACATGACAAAAGCAGACAAGTATCATTCCTAAATATACTGATAGGAAATGGAATCACAGAGAAGATAAAACTTTCCTAAATCATCTAGAAATAGAAACAGAAACCAAATCCAATGCTCTTACCTAGATCAATATTGCAGCACTATGTTGCCTCCTCCCATTTTGCTTCTGTGATTTAGCTGAGGCATTTCTAATTTACTTACAGGAAAATAGTCTGAAGTGGTATTTCATCCACAGATGATTGCTACTGATAGCAGTTACTGGATTTCTCCAGTCTCTGAGTTCTCTGAGGGGAAATGATCTGCAGCTTGTACACTACTCTGCCAATAGTCTCGTTGGATATTTTAAAGATCGTTAGTCCTAACTTCATGCATAAGAAGTTACACAGAATACCACTATGTTAGTGGGACCTACACGATAGTTCTAGCTTGACTAATACATATGTATATTCACCTCAGACAGGTGAGGAGCCTGTTGGTCTTGGGAAAGAGGAGGAAAAGACTCTTCAGAGATTTTTTGGAACTATAGTTCTGACTGTGAAGGCAGGAAGTCTTTTATTGCTACATCCTTCTTTGTTTTCATGTTTGATTTAACAAGTCATGTGTTACGTTATTACGTACTCACATTTTGGGATTTTTTATTAGTCACATTTTGGAAATTCAAATTTTAAGCATTCTTTATTGCCTTGCTAACATTTAAATCCTAAGCTGGAAAAATAAGCATGACTTTATCAGTGAAAATTGCAATATGAATCCATAGAGTCGGTCTTAGATTTTCTGTTACTTTTTAATGTCTCTCATTAGCTAGGGGGAACCTAAGGATTTGGACATAGGTCCATGAAACCATCTTGAGCACAAACCATTTTACACAGTTAAATCAAAGCCAGACCAAAAGCTGTTGAACCAGATCAGGTTTGTTTAGCACCCACTCAAAACTGAAAAACTTGTCTGAAAACTCCCTTACAAAATGTCCAGCCCAAAACACAACAGGCATAGAAAAACGCAATATGGAAGTGCTTAGCAGTGCAATATGAACTCAAGTATCTCAGCAGTACAACTTTGTATGTGTACATTTAATTTTTTAGGTAGGTGTTGAAACCCTCAGGCAGCATGTTTGGACTGGTTGAACAGTCAGTGTCATTGGGAGATCTTCCTATAAAGTTATGCTTGGTTTTATCACAGGAGAAGATAACTAGACAGATAAAACTCATCATAGGTTTTAATGACCTCAGCACACCATTCGAGTGACACTGAGGAGATGTGACATCATTTCCACAGGCTGAAGTTGCAATGGGTAGTAGGAGAAATATTCCCTGAATTCTGCAGATATTTTACTATTTGGAAGTAACTGGGCACTCGGAAGGTGCCCATTTTGCATCATTTTAAGGCCTATCAAAACTCTCTTTGAAAGCATAAGCATTGCATCTGCCTTGTGCAGACCTTACATAAGTTAAATTCAGTGTCAAATACATCATGCAAATCCTACAGAAATTCTGTATTTGCAAGAGGAAAAAAAGGACTGTTGTTTTATGGAAGTTTCTTAGTTCTGAACTAATATGGAACCACTTTGTAAGTGTTGCCAATATCCTCATGAATACCTGTGACAAGTGCCATTAACATAAAATACAAAATGGAACTTGGCATGATGTGAGATTTAAAATTTAGACATGTACTTGCCACATTTAAAAATGTACTTCACAGAATGTATTTTTAAACCGCATATTTTTTAAAAACAAGCCAATTCAATGTCTTATATTTTGAGTTTTAATTCCAATCAAGCTAATTTCTAGTCATCACAAACACATACCTGCCAGTAATGAAGGTTGTTTAATTAGGTCCAGATAAAATAGCTCCAATTCTGTTTCTGATCCACCTGTCAAAGCAAATCAGTCTTTTACACGACTTAAAAAAAAAACAAATTAGACTAGCTGATGATTTTTTGAATATTCAAGTAGACACACTGAAGATAAATTCAAACAGAACTTGTGACTGAACAAAAGCCTGGAACGTGACCCCAAAGATGAATAGATCTTGTTCTGCCAGGAGCAGATTTCTAAGCTTGGCATTTTAGGATTATGAAGTCAAGGACAGGGTGCTAAAAAGCAGCTACTGGAAAGGATAGCAGTATCTTCTACAGCTTGGGGCAAGGTAACATTTCAAAGCTATGTAAAATTAAACACAAATAACAATGTTAAAGGTCCTAGTTAAAGCCCCAAAGACAGGTGATTTCAGAACAGACATGTCCAACCAACTCAAGCCATTGTAGCTCTGTGGGAAAAAAAAATGCTTGGCTGTTCATGCTACTATTACAGAAACAAAATAATCTAGCAGTACTGACAGAACTGAATGCCAAAAAACAGGTACTTTTTCCACTGTTTTTAGAGACAGCCTAGTAGTCTGAACGCATTTACTGGGAGGCAGTTAGCCACCCAAACTGGCCATCACAAGGGGAACAACCCAGTACAGCTCCCAGGGATCATCATCAACACTTGCTTAATTCAGCATGAGCTCTACTATCAATCTCTATAAGACACTAATGCTAGGAAGTAGATGAGAGATATAATATTGATTTAAAAACTCTATTCAGACACATTATTCGCATCCAGAACACACACACACAAAAGGTAAACCAAATTTTAACATAGAAAATAGCCATCATCCTCTGGTAAGCAAATCAGTCTGTACCTTCTTGCTGTTTCTGTTTTTATTCCACTAAGTAAGAAATCATCAAAACGCCAGGGTTTCACAAGGTTGCTCCTGTACCAAGACTACCATTTGCTCTGCTGGAGTGACACTTCTTTCTCATCCTTTGAAGCTTTATCAAAGTGGTTCTACTGATGTTACGTAGCACAGCACCAACTTTTCTATGGTCAGTTATACATATTGGAACATGCTGCACCTTCAGATGATGGGCTTGTTCATTGTGATTGATTTTCAATTCGTGAATGAAGTGGCTTGTTTTTTTTCTGAATGGCATTTCAAATCCTATCCTCATTTCATCTTCAATTTATTTAGATTAGACACTTTGGTTTGGTTTTCCAAATTCAGTGCCAGTGGTCTGGCCCCCTTGGCCCCTGCTAATTATATTATACAAATGAAATAGTGGTGACTTCTGGCAAAAGCTAAAGTCCAAAAACTATATAAAACTACAAGTTTACTTTTTCTTTTGCAAACAAATAGCTCACCATTGCACGATTGTTACTGCTTCTTTGAAAGGCCTGCATCCCGGGTTAGAGGAGTTAAAGATCCTCACAGAAGTTGGCCAGTGATGGATTCCTGATGCTCACGCTTTGATCCATAACAGGAGCCCTCGGACATCAGCTTTATGGCCTGCAAAGGAGTGACAAGGATCTGAGCAGCTGAAACTGCCAGACCCGAGTAGCACATTTGCTTATCTGAGCTCCACTTACTGCAAAATCTGTTAAGCCCTACAGCGCTTCCCAACACCAGGCATCTGCTGGGTCCTCTTTCCTGAGAGGTTTGAGGGCAGCCCTGGGCTGCCCTTGCCCCATGCAGGGCACAGGGTAGTGCACAGATCTGGCTGCCCTCATTTGGCTTGTTCCTGCCAGCATTTGTGGCTGGTAAGGCAAACCAGGTACAAACTAATCCCACCAGCACCGTGGTCCACCTCTCCAGGATTTTGTGTATTCCAAGTAATTTTTACACCAGCCTTAGTGTTTCTGTTCCCACTGGTGTATCCTAACACTCCCCGCTCCACCACCACTAGAATCCCTCAGCTGCCAGTGCTCAGCTGTGTGCTCAAGGGAAAAGGGCCACCAGGACTGGCAGCTTTAACAACCGAACTCCCTCCACACGGTCCTTTTCACACGAGTGCCATAACAGGGCGCAACGTCACTGTTAATCAGATCACCCCCCTGCTCACGCCTGTGCTAGGAAGTTGTTGGGACTCCCCTGTTGGGATGTTCTACAAGATGATCATACTCTTCATTAATCCTTAATGAAAGTAGTATGTCTTAGATGCCACATATATTAGAGTCCATAATAGTTTATGAATATAGAAACTATTTTTATGTATTGTACCTTTTGATATTGAAAAAATGGCATTATAAATACATAAACTACCATCAAATCCTTATTCTCCTCTAAATCTCATTTCTACCACTAAGGAGGAGGCTACACACACCTGAAACTCTTGTTTCATCACACAATTTCCAGTATATGCTGGCAGTACCCAGCTTGCTTCATTACATGACAAAAGCAGGTTGGCCACTGGCACCACATCACAGTCTGTCAGCTCTTCTTGCTTCAAGCATCCATTTCTCTGATTCTATTACTATGTAATCAAACATCTTAGTACTTGAACTGCCCGCAGGGTCTCAGCACATTTTAGGATTGGTCCCTTCCACATAAAATTCAATAAAATTAAACTGAAAAATATGCATAATGCACATGTCAGAGGAACAAATTAACCTATAGGGTTAACCTATAGGGAACCTGCTCTTTGAAGTGGGATGCTCTGCTGGCCCTATGGAACGTGAAGTGGCCAAAGGTTGGACTCGTGCAGAGGGAAAGACCGGCCAGCAGCAACGTCACTAGATCTGCACGTGCGAGCGCTGGTTTAAGACACTCTCCTTTGTGCCTTGGGCAAGGTAGGGAGGTCGTATCCACACAGTGGGGTTAGGAGCACTTCCTGCAACTCCAGGGTGTTTCAGGGATGTGTGATTAAAAGATTTTGGCACATTTAGACAGTTTAGTAACAGAAGCCCCCCAAAGCATATTGTCTAAGGAGACTGTACATCAGCTGATGCATCAGTGAAGGAGGAGGAAGAAAAACGCTTTTCTGAGAGGGGGATATATCCTCCTGTGGAAGCAGCAGCTGTCACAGCTTAAAGCACTGCAACCTAAAGCTACCAGAACACCAGTACCTTGCATGGGTAAAAGCGGAGGTAGGATATAAGGTGCACACTACAAGAAGCAGCGCCTCACTTACAGAAGGAATATCAGGTTTTCCCACTAGTCTGTCCTTCATATAAGAGACTTTTCAAGCCTTTTACAGTTTTGCAAATAACAACTTGAGGAAATAAATATTAGAGAAAGCTTAATGAATGGCATAATAATGATTTCAATGACCATGACCCAACCAAAAGCAAAGGAATCTTGCAATTAGAATAGAATACCAAACTTCTCTTTATCCTATTGTCAGAACACAAAGAAATGCCACTATTAATTATACCCGAGACTGATTACTAAAAAGTTGTCATGTATCCCTTTGATGATGCAAGATGGTTGCTATGGCAATGAGATGCTACAAAAAAATCTTTGCAAGACTTAATTAGGTCATTTGTTTAATCTGTTGGGCTTTTTTCCATTCTTCTCTTTTCTTTCTACTTCTCTACTTTCTTTGTTTAATTGTTTGCTTTAAAAAGATAGAGGTTTTGGGGGGTACTTGAGAACTTCCATGCTTTATCTAAGTTTAGATGTTTCAAATACTGAATTCATAACTTCTAGAACAGTGCCAGCAGCTCTCTATAACACACACCGTGGGCCAAAACACGGAGCAGATATTGTATGTAGATATGAAGCAGAAAAATCCCCTTGAAACCAGTGACTTGGATCTTCTTTACCTTCCTACAACATAGAGAAGCTCCCCCACAATGCACACTTCTGTTTGTTCATAAAGGCATCCACCTATAATATAATGTATGTAGTATCTGCTGAATATTCGGTACTATTCATGAAGTTAAAATTAACTTCTTGTTTTAATTGCTTATCAGTTTCATAAGCATAATTCCCATGATTTAACTTGCTTTCTTAGGGATCTGCTACCTTTCCATATAGAACTTCACTTTTTTCACCAATTTTTACTGTTTAAAATGTATATGTATGTAAATTATTATGCATCTGAGTCTTTCACATCAGAGGTATCGTATAAATACTAAATCAATGTGGAAAACATGTCTGCTTTAACTTGACTTGATTATACCTAAATATAAAATATAAATTAGCATTTTAGTCTATTTTTAGTTGTCTTCATTGTATTATACTGTACAGTTGTTCAAAGCATAGAGATTCCCTTGCCAACTATATCCTATAGATTTATGCAAATAAAGTGAAGCTTATCTTAAAAAAGTTCAGGAGGGACAAGGAAAAGAAAGTCCAATGTCTACTGCAGATATTCTCTAACTGAAAGACAAATATGCTGGGAGCCTTTGAAGGTTTCGAAGTACTTTCTTTTCTCAAAATAGAATTACGGATGGCCAACTTAGAACAAGTTTTACTAAAAAAGGCATGTTTTCCATAATTTATTATTGATTACTCTTAGATTTATTACATATATTTCAGCTAACAATTTAGCATTCAAGAGGTTTTAAAAATAAAACAGCTAAAAAATACTGCAATTTGACATTAGTGTCAAAGACCATTTTTCTTGCCCATGGACGTGATTGACATGTCAATATGACTCAGGAAGAAAACATTATTAATATGAAGAGAAGTTATGACTTTTGAATGATGTTACTTTGCCTTGTAAGTAATTCCCTGGCTTATATCTGCTTTGTATATGTGGATAAGGATTCATAGTCAGGTTTGTTTTACACATTTCAGTTTCTTTAATAATTTTGTTCTATGATTCTATGCAGAAGAGGGGAAAATAAAGACATATTACTAATAAACAAGCAATTTAACAGGTTAGGGCAACAATGCAATGCTGGTCATTCAGGAACCTTGTGCTAATTTTAATTAGCTGCTTTCCCTTGCTTTCAAATGTAATTAAAGCAGCTTAGTTGTGCTCAGTGATGCAAACCACCTTATTTAATCACTAACATTATTTCCCTGAACTATTAATGATTTTCAAAACGCTTGTTTATGCAGAATTAGAACAGTAATTATCTTACCAGTTAATTTTGTACCTTCACATTTCACACCTCGCTCAAACGTCATTCACTTACCACAGCCTTTCTGTCAAAACAAAGAAATGCTTGTTCTAAATGTGCTTCTGACTGCCAAATTGAAAGCCAAGTTTTGTAACACTAATAAAGTAGCTCCCAAGTGAAACAGGTGTAGTAATTTAGACCCTTCCTGTCTCGAGCTTGCACGTACATGCTATGTCTTTTCTTTATTAGCTTTAAAATGAGAGCTTGGTGTGCAAAATAAGCTATTTAATTCAGACTTGTGGAGCAGAATATAATCTTTAATTTAAACTAGAGCCGTAAAAAAAGGCCTTTAATTTTAACTGGCATGTGCGTGTGAATTTGAATTAATAATCCAGAAAATTGAAACTGTTTTGCTGCTGTTGCTGGATACTGACTGTTCTTCACATGCCCTTAGTTTCACTCACTGTTTCTCTCTCTCTCAAGCTTTGGAGGGTGCCTGTTTTATGATGTTGCTGTCTTGCAGAAAAAGTAGTACGCTAAGAAAGAAATTCTCTGTTGACTAACTCTTGCAAAAAGGAATGGGAACTAGAGGAATACTTAGATCTTTATTAATTCAGTTTAGGAAAAGAATATAATTGGTGAATTCATTATATCTACTTAAGACATAATTCAAATACACAATGAATTTACACTTGATGATTCATCAGATTTGAAGAGGTTTTGTGTTACTTTTTTATGGCAAGTTAACAACTAGTTGTGTACTTAACAGCCATAAACTGTGAGAGCCTACAAGCATCAAGTAACTCTTCCTCCCATCTCCTTTCTGGGAAAGTAAAGCCTGCCCTGTTTCAGGGCAATTCAGCAGTAGCCCCATGCTACCCAAAAGAAAATGCGCGGCAGCCCCATTAATCCTATGGAGTTCCAGCTTTGAGCTGCTCTGAGCAGGCTGCAAGCTCCAGGTAAACAAAACTCTGCCTACTTGTATTTTGTCTACAGTTCAGTTCAGTGCAGGACTTCAGGCCCAAAGTAGAAGGCAAACTGAAAAGCCCCACTGAAAATCAGGGTCTATGCTTCTGTGCTGCACATGTGGCTAACAGGGATGCGCTTACATTGGGTACAACCTCGTCCAGAAGGATGTCAGAAAAAGGAAAGGATTTGATATAGTGTTTCGGCCACCACCATGCGCTAACAGTTGTTTCTGCAGCTAAGGTTAATTGCAAAAAGAGTATTAGATCTCGCCCTTTAAAGGCTCATTTTCATGATTAAACGTAAACATGGAAGTGGAGCATTTGACCTCCACTGGACTGCTTCCAGAGTTACCCGCATAAGCAAGGGACAGCAGGACGGACAGCTAAGAGCATAGTAATACTAGTGCGTGTGTCCTTGCAAGCACTGTAGCCCAAATTTTAAATATTACATCATATTTTGTAAATATCCTTTCTAAATACTTTATAAGTTGTACAGAAGAAACCACAGGCCAACGCACAACAGTGAGTTAAAAAGCCACATTTTGTTTAAAAGCTTTACATGCAATCTAACAAAGTACTTCTAATATATTTAAATATATTAAAATATACTTTTAGAAAAGATTCTATAAATTTGCAACAAGTAAATTTATTTCAATATTTTTAGGTGCCCGAGATGTGTGGTCTCCTGGCAACTAGCAATCACATGGCTCTCTAGGCTTTGGCCTACTGCTACAATGCCGTTCTGTGTTTCGGCAATGATTTATTCAAACCCAGTTTCAAACCTGCTGTTAGCTCCCTCATTGCCTTAATGCAGCTAGTCTACCATTCATAACTGTCAAGAACCCATTCACTGGGACTTGCGCTTATTAAACCCCCGAACTGGGTAGTGGACCTGCTCCATTTTGTGCCTGGGAATGTGAATACACACTCTACTTTCCATTGCTTTAAGCTGAGCTTTAAAGTTTTTAAACATCACGTAATATTTCTATTTGTTACCGTGATACTCAATCTCCACTTTGAAAGAATACTTGCTGTGCTGGCAGGCAGCAGTAACCCCCGGACATGGCCGGAGAGGCTGCTCTAGGTCTAGCACGCTGCTCTTGCCCTGCTCTCAACGTCCGCCTGCCACACTAGGTTTATCACTTTCCTAAGAAACCAGAAGGACAGGCTCATCTCTGGGTTCATCTCTATAAACACTGCACTTGCAGAAGCAGCACTGGCCTCCTTTGCTTTAACAGTAACTTCGACTTTCTTCTTTGAAAGGAAAAAGATGGCTCTAGCAATTAAAGAAGTAATCACAGCAGGTATTTACCCTATCGAGAACAATATATCAATTCTCTTGGTCAAACAGCAACTGTATAAATAACATAAGGAGAAAATGGGTATTGAAAATATAATATTATTTAACAAGTATATTTATATTTTAATCTAACTCTGTTAATTCAATAGTTTCAAAAAGGCATATTTGAATTGGAGCCTTTAATAGTTTCTCATATTGAATAACATGGTAATGCGATTTTCTCTGTTCTGTACACACAAGGAGCATTTGAAAATGTGTTGCCACAATTACGCAGCGGCAGTGGGCATGCTAGAGAATATTTAATGTGAGCCTGGGAATAAGCTGGTTCACCCTATTTGGTTTAAAATAATCATAAATAGATATTTTAATATAATGATTGTAGCATAATATGCTTTGCTTTAATTTTAGGATTCTAGTGGGGAAAGCATAATATTCTGAGGATTAGTTTGATTTAAATTAGGGCTATTGTAAAATCAAGGTTCTGACCAACTGGCAGTTAAATAAAGCCTTTTTTTCTTTTTTTTTTTTCTTTTTTTTTTCCCCCAGCACAAAGGACTTACTATTTCTCAAAAAGAAAACTATTTCCAAAATATTTATAAAAAGATGCCAACAAGAATAACTGCAGGCCCAGGGAGTCTTTTCTTGAGTGTTTGCTGATGTTTGGCCTACCTTACTGGGAATCTTGATGGAGGAACAAAATGGCACTATCTGCTGGACATCTTGGTATCTGCCCTTGCTGTCAAGACAAAAACAATGCGATTCCATTCATATGGAGAAGGTCAGAACACCATCACAGGTATATTACATATTAAAGGATGTAGATTCCCTCTGATAAAGAGAGACTAACATACATAGCCTTACATAGACCTAATTGAAGTTTGTTAGAAACATACATATTGTCTTAATAGACCAACAAATTTTCATGAAAAGGTTATATTCATGCAAATAACTTCTTACAATTGTCCACAATTACTGCAGCATCAGTTAGCTGCAATCTGCTTCAAGCCTGATGCCGGAAACACAACAGCCCATGCTGTTTATAGCCAGGAGCAGCTGCAACAGGACTGCTCAGGTCAGCTCAGTACTCAGTGGTCCTTGTAGAAAAAATCCTTTAAAATTTCTAAAAGATAGAGTCATGAGATAGATGTACAAGCATAAACCTAATTTTTTCAAAGGGATAGGTGCTCTGGAAAATTATTCATCATGCATTTTATACAAGGCTATTTCAGCTCCAACTCGTGGCTTCCTTTAAAATAAACAGTGGACTCAATTCACCAGGCTGTTACATTTGCTTTGTGGCGATATAAGGTCATTAAATTTAACTAGCCTGGAACTGGCAAATATATCCTGTGCTGAGGATTCATCTTTAGCTAAACACAGCTTAGTGCTGTTGGAGGTAGATTCCTCAGAAATTATGAATTACTTTACCTTGCTTAATGAAAACAAAACTCCAAGTTAATCAAAATCTTTTGCAAAGTTAGAAAAAGTTACTTAGAGGACTTTCATCTTGAAATCTTTCTGCATATCTGCCTATAAAACTGTCTATTCTCTGGAGAGATGAGGCAACATGCAGCATTCTGAAGTACTCTTTTAATGCATTATACTGAACGCTGTTAATTTTTTAGATGCATGAAAAAATTAAGCATTGTTGTGCTTTCCTGAATGCCTGCTCACGGCATCTGATGGAAGTTGGAAGTTCAGGCAGAATCGATGCTGATTAGAATTTTCTACAGTTTTTTCACCTATAGGATACACAGGTTTCACGGAATAATGGCTAGGACTTTGAGTCAAACATTTCACACCTTGTGGATATACCCAAAAACTGTCCTCCTTGCATCAGTTCACTAAATTAGAGACCAGGTAATTCAAGGAATGACAGGAAGGAAAACAAGTTGAAAGAAGGCAATATGGAACTTAAAACTAGATCCATACATTGGCAAAGATTATTACTGAATAGTGGTTAGGTCAAAAATAGTGAACAGAACAGTACGTGGGCAATACGACCAGTAAAAATTTAACATATTTATCTCAAACCTGAGCATTTAAAGAGGCAAAAGGTAACTACACAAGTCGTGTAACATTAGTTTGCCTTTTATGTGCAATTTGAACTCTGAACTTCCCAAATAAAATATTTTCTGGGGGAGAAAAAAATAACAAGTATTCATTAATTCTTCTCTTTCTTTTCCATAATGGAAAGATATTTACAACATGATCCTGATCTGAGTAGGATTGGTCCTTGATCATTTAACAGTTTTAATCATATCTCAGGGCCTTCTACAGAGGTTGAAAGCCATGGATTATTACATCTTTCTCTTTTCAGAGTTACCTTCTGCAAAGGATGTCCTCTTTCCATTTTAGTTGTCAGAGTACAGCTAAAAGCCTTGGCTCTTAGCTCTGCCTGTTCAGATCTTACTCAAACATTTTCACCTTTCAGCTCCTCACAAGAAGGTGAACTTTTGTTTACAACCTCAAGGCCACAGACTGCAATTAGTGTTTCCACATCCTTCCCTGAGAAAGAGCAGATCCACATATTTCTATGAAGTTTCTTGCTCAGAGTATGGTACCTGCCCCTAAAAGTTGTCTAGAAGCAAAGTCTTCAATTCTTCAAATCATCTTCAAATGCTTTATAAAGATATAATAAAATCATATTTATATTTATATATTCATATATAGTAGAAATATATATATTCCTATATAAATATATATATAAACTATATAAATATATTTATATAGAAATATCAAAATATTTAGAATATAGAAACAAAAAATATTTACTTATTTTTTGAAAAAAATCATATGCTAACATGAAGTTTGGGAGAACATTAATCAAAATACTTAATGACATCTTTAAATACGAAGAGATTATCACACTTTTGTTTTTATAAAAAGGACAGCAGCAGCAGAGAAGTAAGATTCTTAATTCTAGGCAAACTTAGAGGCAGAACTAACAGCAAAGGAATTCCCATTTGTATAGTGAGGTCCCAAAGCTCTCGGAGGGGATGCAGATGTATGTATGTACTGCCTGTCCATAGGAATGTGGCCTTCCTCACGAGCCACAGACCTGGACTTGCTGGGCACACTGAGGAGGGCGGCCAGGCCGCGCTCGCTGCAGGGGCCAAGTTCAGCAAGGCCCCTCGGGCCCAGGTGCTTTCAAGAGAGCAGATGGTCTCACACGGCTTGGGCCGGTCTCTCGCTCGCCCCCTTGGGCACTCAAACTCTGCTCGGAAGCATGGCCAGCTTAGAGGAAACGCAGGATCCTTTTGTAATCTGTTTTGACAGTGTTGGAGTGGACTGGTGTGATAAGCAGAGAGCCTAATAAATCTTACTACAAGTTAAAAGTTGCAGTCCGATAGCCAAAGGTGCATGAAGTAATGTAGCCACAGTTTTCAATCACAATCTCCTTCATCATGGCCTTTTTCAACTAGCTTAATCTAAAATTAATACCTTTTTTGGTTTTGTTTTTTTTCTCTCAAAGTTGCAGTCAGTGTTTCTCTGCCCTTCCTCCTGATTTGCTCAGTAGCTTGGAAGCCTAAGGGAAGGGTGGATTAAATTGGAAAATATAAATAACAAATCAAAAATTAAAATTGATTGGATAAACAATTTCCCTTAGTCTGTTTCTTAATAAGTGATCGATTTTTTAATCAATATTCATTATTTCTCAGAACATACCAAACTGTTTATCGAATAAATGAATAGCTGGAGCTACAATGACATCAAATCAAAAAGGTGAACCAATTTCTTTAATAACATGGGCTGAACAGGCCACCTCATCTTACCTGGCTGCAACTAAAAGTAAGAAATTCAAGACCACTGAGCAGGTGATTGAAACACAGGATGCAGTGTGTGTTAGGGAGGGTGTTTCCGTGTTTTGTATGCAGGGGCATGCGGCCACACACCGATCTGCATGACATTTCTAAGTTGTGTTTGAAGGTTTCTTTCCTTTTGATACAACTTTTGTGCTCTTGCTCTCAATTCTTCATTAGTCAGCATACTGTAAAGCTTCTGAAATTAAATTCAGATCTGAAAAATGAGATCTGTAAAACTGTTCACGGCAAAGTCTTCAGGCATGGCAAATAGATTTCTCTAATAAGTTTTTATTCACCAGTATCATATTCAGTGGCACATATAAACTATATACTGTATCCTAAAATATACTTCAGAGTATTTCATATTGCTTAGCATAACGTAAAAAATAATCTTATCCTTTTGAGGTACAGACTTCCTGAAGCTTTTCTGTTTAGTGGAAGAAAAAAAAGCACTTCTAAAGGTCTTTATATGACTAACCTCCCTAGTATGAAAGAAAAAATACTTCCAGGATCAAGTTTAAGAGAAAAACATACAGCTTTATACTCCAGACAAAGGATTTAGTGGAAATATTCACTAATGTGCACTTGGTCAGAAATTCTCCAAGATACATTTGCACATATATTTAAAAATGAGCAAATATATTAATATTTTTCTACTTAACATAGATCATCTTACACATAATAAACATCCAACTCAAAATATTTCTCAGTATGTGGAAATAGTTAAACTTTCTCCTCATAAACATGAAACTAGTTCTTTTGAAAAATATATATACTGCACTGATCAACTGTTAGTAAATGGGTAGGACCTTTCACTTTAACATCTATTTTAACTTTTCACAATAAAATGAATGTATGACTAAAAAGTGACATGATTCTATAGGTCTCAGTGATGAAAGTATGAAATAACTTGGGCAATGAAGAGAAGCTGAAGAAGATCAGGCTCAGTTCATACACATTTTGTAGATGAATTCCCTGTGTTTGCTATCATCGCAATTAATTATACAGGAATCAAGTATCACTGTCATGCTGTCATCTGCAACAATTCTAACCAACATAGTAAGAGCCTTCATGCAACTTTCTTGCAGTAACCAGATCATAAAACATTTGTGCAAAAGATAAAGGCCCACAGTGAAACAAAAATCAAATCTAAAATCTAAATCTTTGAATCTAATTTCACTTTCCGCATCAATTCACTGTGCAACATTGCCTCCCCATGAGAAATCTATAAATCGTGTAAGCAGTGCTAAAATGATCAGTCTCCAAATACCTTATGTGTGGAAAAAAAAAAATAAACAAAGAGAAATCAGCAAAAGCAAGAAAAAGTTTAGCAGTAGGTCACGAGGACGGAGTCCTTCACGTGGCTGCTCTGCACCTATGCAGAACTGCAGCAAAGCAGCCCCGAGGGGTTGCAATCAGGGAACAGATGTCACATCATGCTAACCTTAAGGTTAAAGAAATATTAACTACTGAAATGAAACTGCTTCCTGCCACAATATATAAATATTTTGCAGGGATGCTAATCTGCCTGAGCACATAAGAGTGATAATCACTGATCAAAACCACCTTTCCCCTAACCCCATGCACAGCATCCCAGATACCAGTGCTCTGGCTGCTGCAAGTTTGGCATTTGCACTGTCCCCTGCAACACAGATCTACATGAGCTTGCTAAGGCCCAGTTGCCCCTTGGAAATGTTATAAAAGATGTTATTTTCCAAAGTGAGATTGCTTAAAATGGCTGTGACTGCCCATATTTTGGTGGAGGCAGCATGGGAGGAAGGCCTGCAGGGCCCCAAGATAGGCTGCCTTTCGTCCCAGGGGCTGGCCAGGAGATGGTGGTAGCGAGCAGCCAGCCCTGCCGCTTCCTTGCTTGGGTCCAGCAGGCTCATTTCAAACGTGCCGAGAGCGTGCCGAGG